GAATCTCCATAAAATGACGTGTAAAATTACAATTTTTTAAAATTTCAATAACTTTTTAACGGTGTAGTGAATCGATTTGCAATTTTTACAGGAGTTTTAGAATTGAATGAGGAACGTTCTGCCAAATTTTTATTTGTTTCGTAGCATTTTGACATACCTCCCAAACATCCTTAAAAAGAAAATTAAGTATACATTCAAAGTCAAAGGTCTATCTCAAAAAGAGTAACTAATTCAAGTTTAAAAAATGTAATAAACCACCCGTAAAAGGCGCAAAGAAATATACACAAAGTAATTTTTGCGTTTCATGTCAGCGGATTATGCAAATTTACTAAAAGGTGTAATTGGAAACTCGTTCGTATGAACAGGCTATTTTATCTTTTAATTAGTATTTTAAAATTAATCCTTTAATGTTTTCTCTGTGTTTATTTCAAAAAGTCTATGTAAACGTCGTAGGCAACTTATTTTACAATTGTGTTGAAGTATGAAATAAATACGGGCTTTACTTACGTTTTCATCTTGTAAATTTTAATTTTTTTTTATTTAAACAAAATCATCCAGCAAGTTTTTAGATATTTCAAAACTAAGTCATTTTTGAGGCACCAAACTTAAACAAATACAACTACACCTTCAATAGTCCAGTGGCGTAGTCAGGATTTGTCAAAGGGGGAGGAAGAGATTAAGGTAAAAAAATACTGAAAAAAAAATTATCTTAGTATATAAACACGTGTCGTATGTTCGAAGACTCTACTTAAATTATGTAAATGCGTATGATTGATGGTTATAGCTTGAAAAATAGGATAGTTTTGAACCCGATATGTGGCGCTATTCTCTCAAACTAAAGTTTTTCAACGAAATTTTTTTATTGTAGATTTCTCATTCAAAAATACATACAGCCCCAAATTTTAACTTTCCTAAACCCTTACTCTGTTAATTGAGTTTCAAGAATTTGTTTTAGGAAAAATCCACTATGTTAAATGAGTTTCCAAAATACAACCCCTAAATCTCTAAAATGGGGAGTTTTCAAAAAAATCGAATCCCGGGCGAACAAAGTCGCGAGTGACAGGTAGTCTTTATTGAACTGGAAGTGTTTGTCTGTAATATCAAAGTAATTGCCCTTGTTACGGTTATTTGTATGCTACTAGAAAAAGATCATTAAAAAATGTTTTGTCTATCTCTTGGCCTGTACAGGCTAATCTTCGAAACAACTAAATTTATTTCGATGAGACTTCACAGGCATGAAGAAAAGGTTTTCAAGAGTGATCTACCTACTATTTTTTTATTTGTTTTTTACCAGATATTAATCAATGTGTTACTTGGTGTCTCTACTGCGGTGTCTATACCATAGAGTTAACAGAATAGAATGAGTAAACCCATCGGCAATGTGTTTCTTAAGTGAAAAGAAACAGAGAATAAAGGGACCTGATCAACCATCTGTAGCTCTTACTGTTTTAAGCATGCATACTTGATCACCGAGACAGCATGAACTTACCTACTCTAACAGTAATTGTTTCTCACATTCCTCAAGGTGCAACACGATTAAAAAACCTTGCGGGGGTTTCAATCCCAAAACACCCCACGCAATTGTAATAATCTACGTTAATTATGTTTTATATAAAAAAATCAAGTAAGAGAATTTACTTCTTTTTAGGAATTCACTTTAAAAGCCATTGGATTATTGGAGTCTATCCCGCCTCTACCTCCAAGATCAATAACAGTAGCCATTCCCAGTTCTACATCTGGTAAGTACATTTTTAATAATATTTTTAAGGTAATTTAGGTCTTATTGAAGTTATATAAATAATACAGAGACAACTCTGTACATGCAGCTTTTCTCTCACTGTACGTCGTCAAGAAGTACAATGAAGCATGGTGCTTTTAACTTCGAAATATATCATACCGTCAATGTTTGAGTTTTTATTTGTACGTTTGGAATGATAAATCTCAAAAATGTTTTTATTTTAAAGTATCCTTTAAGGCTGACTCGAAATTATCAAATTGACACCTAATAGTGATCTAAACATATCTTCCTGATGTGATTATTTTTCACTGAAAGTTGGTGTTGATCCATCATTTCTAATGTAAGGACGAATATCATGGTCAAAAATATAAATTAGAAACAATACGGTTTTTATACTTTAAAACTTTAAAAGATTCTCAAATCAACTCTACGAAGAGTTTTAATTAAGCTATTAGTTGAAGAAGCTTCTAAATGCGTGGAAACAAACAAACCTTTTCACACAAAACTAAAAAGTTCCCTTGTTTAAATAAATAACAATAACTAGTAAACATTTCACAAAGTTTATTTAAAAACAACCATTGTTTCGATATCGTGTGTCTCTATCAAGTTTGCTTGAATTTTTCTCTGAATATTTATTGTAAAAGGAATTAATTAAATCAGTATGTATAAATTCGAACTTCATTCCAAATTTTATTGTGGAAAAATGGAATGGTGGTATAGTAGCTCCATAGCTAACGAGACTGTGTTACTGAGCCTGTATACGAACATATTACCATAACCTTTACCCATACTCCAAATAACATTGAAATCTTTTCTCAGCACTTTAATTCTAATAGCTTGGTTGTCGAAAAAATAACCATTGGATTCTTCTGCATATTTCTTTGTATATTTCTCTGTTCCTATTGAACTCTCTCCAGCTTCTCAGAAACGCAACCCCGCCCTATTATTTAAAGATCTGGATGACGTTGAAAACTTCTTCCAAACTCTCCAACTGTAGTCTTTTTAGCTTGTTTGTAGGAAGCAACTATTGGATATTCTATACCGCTTTCCTTGTATATTCCTCTATTCATGGTCGACTTGACTTATTATATATCACCATGAAATGTATCCATATTCCAGATTACTTAGAAACCTCCTGTGCAGCTCTCCGACCGTAATTTTAATAGCTTTTTGTAAGAAACAATTTACTGGATATTCTAAATATATTTCCCTGTTCCTGGTGGACCGCCCGTCTTCGATTTTTGCCTATTCCAAAAAATTGATCAGAGGATCTGTATCAAATTTTAGGTGAAAAACAAAATTAAGTGCGCGGATGCATTCCGAGTGTTGACTGTGACATTTGGTGGAACTACCTTGGACCGAAGCAACATTTATCGGTGGTACAAAATGTTCTCAGAGGGCCGACAAGATGTGAACGACGGGAGAGTACCGGACGCCCGAGTATGTCAACAACAAACGAAAACATGAATGAAGTGAAGAAACTAGTACTGGACAATCGTCGAATTACCGTTAGAGAAGTTGCTGAAGACAGTTTTATTTTTTTTACCAATGATTGGGCATGAGACGGGTCGCCGCGAAATTCGTACCAAAATTGCTCAATTTCGACCAAAAACAGCATCGCATTGACATTGCTAAGGAGCTGTTGGACTCTGTCCGCGACGACCCAAATGTACTCCGGATGGTCATAATTGATGAAGAATTATGGGTTTATGGATATGACGTGGAAACCACAGTTCAGTCATCCTAATGGAAGCTGCCGCACGAGCCAAGACCGAAAAACGCCCGCCAAGTTAGACCGAATGTGAAGGTTTTGCGTACAATTTTCTTCGATTGCAGAGGCGTGGTGCATCATGAGTTCTTGCCACGGGGTAGAGCAGTCAATAAGGAATATTACCTACATGTTATGCGCAATTTGCGCGAAGCAATCCGCCAGAAACGCCCGGATTTGTAGAAGAACAAAACTTGGCTTTTGCCCAATGATAACACCCCTACTCACGCATCGTTGCTTGTGCATGAATTTTCGATCAAAAACAACACACTAATAATGCTGAAAAAGATCATAAAAATGATATTTTGAAGTGCTTCGAGGATTGGGGAAAACATTGACATAAGTGTATAATACCTGGTGGGGGTTACTTTGGAGAGGACAAAATAAGTATTCATGAATAAATAAATAACACAGGCCAACGACGAAAAAACTTTTTTAATAATTTTAACTAATTTCTATGTAATTTGGTGTGCTGATTCCAAACAAAATAACGAAAAAGTCGTATCACCCTCCATTTTCACACATTTCAATATTAAATAAAAGTAAATTTTATTAACCAAAATGTATAACAAATATTTTTAACCGTTAAAATATTTTTATGTTGACAATA